TGGGCAGCTTTTAAAAGTAAAAACTGCAAGTGTAATACACACACAAATAACATAACACTGTGCCGTATTTACTTAATGTTGAGCAGTTGCACTATATCCTAGGGGAGGGCATAATTATTAATTAAAAGGCATTATAGGCCAGAGGAAATTTTGTGACCCTTCACACCTGTGCCCAGGGGTGACTGCCCCCCCTTGCCTCCCTCTTGCTACACCACTGGATAGGGGTTCTTATTTTATATTCTATCTTGTCAATATTGGTAATTTGAGTTTCTAATTCATAAGAAACTATAAACTTTGTATTTGGACATAACAAACATCTAATTTGAACCAAAGCTGCATTCAACATGCCATATGACACATAAAAATCAATATTGAGGAATTTTGTTTTAATATTTACTTTTAAATTAAGGAATTGACTAACATATAATAATAATGTCTGAATTATAATGTACAACTTGATATCAAACTTATTGGCATACATTCATAAAATAGTAGTTCAATAAAATTTTCAATGTAAGTCTACAAAATATATGACATGCCCTTTGACCCTTGACCATAGGAAAACCTATAGCGATATAGTTAATTAAGTATTGTTATAAAAAATTTGTCATAGAATATATGAAGTCAAACAGTTAAATGCTCCAAGTGCAAAGTGATTTTTATGTTAAGATCAAACATACTTTTCTTCATCTGAAACGATGTAACAAACTTTTCTGTGACAACATTCTTGGTTGAAATAAATTTACATTTACTAAATATACTTTCTTTTCAATAAATTATAAGTTCTTGTATTTATGTGTGTTGTTTGAATAAAACAAACTTAAGCAAAATTATTCACTAAATAAGGACTTCAGTCAGTGGAATATTTTGCTATCATCTACCACATTCTCTAAGCCTAATCAGACTTACTTTATATCATAAACGAAAATTTCCAAAACTTTGAAATAAATATAATTTAACATAAAAACAATTACATTTTAGAAACAAAAAGAACATCTGAAGAAACTTAATAAAAATTGCAAATCTGTGATTTGTTTCTAACTCTTCTAAACTTCCATTACATTTGGTGTTTCTTCTCTGCAGGACTGAGATCTTGTAATTTTCCTACAAAACCACAAGTTACTCCTCAAACCAATTTATTCATTCTACACTGGTTTAAATAAGTTATAATCTGCTCTATCCAACAGTATTTAAACTTTGCCTACAGCTATTTTCAAAGCTGAGCAACAATTACTAGTCATTCTAACCATATGCTGCAAGATCATAAAATGGTATAAAGAGGCTATCCTCTAATAAAGGCAGAGAAAAAAAAATGATAAACATGACAAAGAAAATAAATAATTGTATTCTCAAGGGCTGAAAGTTTCTTATCAAATATAAACCTATACATTTCGATGGGCAAACAAATCCAACAAAATCAGTATATACATATAGGCAAGGCTACTCGAAGCTCTGCAGAAATATAAGTTAGATCTTTTTTTTTTCTTTGCTAATTACACTAAATAAATGTGATAAAATGAAAAAATATAAATTCTAAAATGTTTTTGAGTAGCATAGTGAGAATTATTATCTTTTACTTAAATTTTGAGATTTGATATGTACTCAACGCCTGAAAAGTGCTCAGTGTTTTCAAAAGGTTTAATACAAGTTTTTTTTCTTTATTACTCAACAAATTAAACTAACTCCTAGGTAACTCTATTATAGTAAGTTTCAGCTACATGAGCAAATTGGCACTTGAGGCTGATTTGAAAATCTAGACAATACAGAAGGTTGAGAAGTTATATTAAAATGGTTCTGAATATGCAATTCAGCAAGTCACATAACAATCACAGCTGATACATAATTGTGGTGGAATAGAATGCTCCAAAACTAAATTTTGACATTATATGGCTTTTTGTAGGTAGTAAATGCCACCAAAAACTGATCACTTTTGTGAATGGTATGTAACATCTCTTTCATACACTCAGATCATAAGGATTTGTTCAGATCAACCATTTAGAATTTCTAAAATGGGAATACCACTTTATGGAATTGGAAAGGAAAGTAGTATGGATAAACCTAGGGCACAAGGAACATACAAAGATTGAACAAAACAAGTCATATCACAGATGTGATAAGCAAAGTATGGTGTCTTCTAACAGCTTATTTGCATGAACACAAAGGGCAAGGGTAAAATACATTTAAAACAACTATAGAATGACTGATATTTTCTCTTAAGGGTGTTTTAAGAATAATTGTCAAATATACTATTAAATGCCGTATTATTGCACTGATGTAATAATGCAATCTATTCATTTTTAAAGATCATCATAACTAAAGTTAATTTCAAGTATAATGAGAACACTTAAACCAAATATGAGAAATAAATTCATACCTACTTTTCTGTATCTGGTATCTACTACTCATAGGTCAACATTTAACATATATTTATATATGTACTTTTAGTTAAAATGCATTCTTGGGTATACCTTAACCAATTCATAACTTTTTAGTTTAAAGTAAGCAATGATTTTCTCATCAAGATTTACTGATATCTTTACTCTGAAATGCATTTTCAAAAACATCATGATGAAGCATATAATACATGTACACACCTTCCCAAAGTGGTGCCACAGTAAGTACTCTAATGCTGAGGATGTCATTCCTGAAGATCGTAGATACATGGCATTTATTTTCTGGTAACCCCACTCAGTCCAGCTAGCAACCCTGGAAGTGCAGTTGACTAAAAACAGTCCATCCACAAAATCTGGATACTGAAGCTAAATTTGATGATGTTACACATGGAAAAAAAAATAACTTCTACATTCATATCTAAATCAACTTTTATCAGTCAGTATAGGTCTTTTAGTTGTCTTATGTGCAGCTCAGTAAAAATTAAATACTAATTACACAAGATGGTTCAAAAGTCACAGAGTTTAATACTAATCTCTTTTGAATTTAAAATGTTTCACATTAATGTAATAAGAATATATGTGAACAACACATAAGCCTGGCATACAAACTGACAAAGATCCTCAATTTGAATAGAGGTCAACTGACAAGTAAAAAACAATATTAGTAACATTAATAAACTACAATAAAAAATTTGAACACTTTACATCTTTAATATGCAACCTAACTATGAATCAACTGCAAAAGATACTTTAAGTAAAATTTACAAATTAAAAATAAAGATGAAAAACATGCAGTACACACTTCTCTAAAAAACCAAATGATTGAAAAAAAAGAAGAGATAATGAAGTAATTCACACCTGCAGTACGAAATTAAATTGATTATTTCATGTCACGTAAAAACTTGTAATCAAGAATCCAAGGAGACGAAAAACTTATTCTAGAACTTCAAAAAATTGGCAGTATTTTAATTCTTAACTCTTTAAACTTAAAATTATTTTCTTGTTAAGAACACCACATTCTAACAAAAGAATGAAACACTTACAGCAAATTTTGCCAAAATGTTAGCACCAGCTCCCACACCCAAACCAACGAAATGTTTCAAACTAGAAATGAAAAAATTAACATTTCATTACTTAAAATTAATTGATTTCAGACTATAATAAAAAGTTAACTATAAACCTACTTCAATAATGCAGCTTTGTGTGGGTAAAAAAGCTATTTTATTTTGATGTTTCTCTGCTAGAAATCTGCTATAAACAAGTCATGATAGCAGTTATAAAAGAAATTTCTATCCTGCATTATAATGCAATTTCACATGGTTCTTAAAGAATCATCAAATGTAATTTAGACTATTAAGGTAAAGATATTTATCATATTGTTAGAGAATACTTCTTTCTTTGGCAAGTTCTTTTAAATTATCTATGAAAATAATTCAAACTTCATTCAAACTTATTATTGCAAACTTGAAAACTGTTGTAACTTGTAAATCTAAGTTATCAGCCTTGCTAACTGTACTATACAACGTAAACCAAAATTAACTTATTTGTACAATTTACTGTGATAGCAAACACTAAAAACAATTCTCTGTTCTGAAACAACTTTCTTTTATCTCAACTTGGCATGAATTTAGAAATTTCTAGTGATGTTTTCTCTAGCTAAATAATACATTACAACATTAAAAATATGTAGCTTAAAATAATATTAAACAGGAAAGAAGTTACCTTACCCAACAAGAAAATAATTTACTCATAAAACTAGTCATTCATGAGTCATAACGAGTGTCCAGTTCAATATTTCATTGGACAATCAATATCATAGCATACCTTACGGCTTAGACAGTGTATCACTAAGAGCATCATAAACTTTGACATTATTTAATAAACACAAGGAAACAACCCTCTATATACAGACTTGGTCATTCTGACCAACCTTGCAATTATACAAACTATAGCTTTTAATGTATTATTTGCATCTTCACAAAATTTGACTTCCAGTAAACATTACAAGTCTTTCGCACACAAAAAATCAGATTTATTAGCTCCTCAAACACGAGCAAACTTTGCTAATATCCAGCCAAAATTCTCTATTTACCCAGCCAATGGTGACAGTGTCTGATAACATTTATGTCTCTTTGGCTGAAAACTAATACAAACCATGTTATTATCCAAAAAATTAAGAAAATTGAAGTTTTATAAGGTATAGTGATAATTATTAGGAAATCATGAAAACAATTTCAGCAAAATTGTTTAAAGAGTGAAGATAGTATTTTCATATTGCTTTGTCTGGAAATTTATGGAGTCTCAGTCAGATTCTGAATAGTCTGAGTTCATCTTACAGTTTTCAAATTTTATTTGCATAACTTCTAGAACCTTTTATAATAATATTGTTGTAAGCTACACTTTTAACACTGTAACATGTTTATTAGCTAAATGGAGCTGTGGGTCATAAATAATGACTTAAGATAGGCCTAGAAAGTTCTAAAGATTCAGTGTGAAGTGTTCTAGTACATTCAAAGCCAGATTATAAATACTGGATAGCTGTTTCAAGAGTAGAGTGAGCTGAATGATAGTCGTGGATATAGTTAACAAAGTGCAGAGTTACTTCAAGATACAGAGTTGAAAGAGTTGGTGTGTTTTCATGAAATATTTAGATCTTTGTTTGCTATCACACTTACTGGGATATTTTGTAAAGTATGTTGATTTTAGGTTAATCCTAATATTGTTATAGACATTTGAATGGCATTTGTAATGTAGGCCTATAACAAGTTACAGCAGTATACAAGTGTTAAAGTTTGCAGAAATGGTAAAGGAAGAAATAATTGTTTTGAAATTTCGCGCACACCTACATGAGAGCTATCTGCGCTAGCCGTCCCTAATTTAGCAGTGTAAGACTAAAGGGAAGACAGCTAGTCATCAGCACCAACCGCCAACTCTTGGGCTACTCTTTTATCAACGAATAGTGTGATTGACCATCACATTATAATGCTCCCATGGCTGAAAGGGTGAGAATGTTTGGAAGGACGGAGATTTGAACCCGTGACCTGCAGATTGCAAGTTTAGCTCCCTAACCACCTGGCCATGCCGGGCCTGGAAGAAATAGACTAATTTGTGATTGGAATGTGGTCTGGACATTAAATTATTTTCAACAGATAATTTCCAAGAACCTGCCAACAAAAGAATAATGTTACAACAATATCAAAAGCTTTTTTTTTCCCAGTAAAACTTCACATTTTATGTTATTTTCTTTGCTCTAACACTACACAAGCTTGATCCATCTGACCAACCTTGTAATCATCATAAAAAAAAAAAAAATCGACATTACCCTTAAAGTACAATTATTATTCTTAAACAGCCTCAGGCTCATAAGAATTTACATCATAATTTCATCATTTTATCTTTTATTGATCTTTAAATCATTTATAATTACTAAACGTTTAAAAAAGCTATAAACACCTAGTGAGCACATCGCTCACATTACAGTAAAACAAGGTATTGAATTTACTTAATGCTTATGACTACCTCACTGAAATTTTTTTTTTTATTTAATTCTTTTCATTTATGTTTTCTTATTTAACCTAATAAGTTTTGACACTTTATATTTTGGTTACTTTTATAACAATAAATCAAAAATATACAAACAAAATTGAATTACTTAATGCTTGTGCCTACTTCACAGATTTTTTAAAAATCAAACTCTTTTAATTTATGTTTTCCTATTTAACCTAACAAGTTTCTACACCATATCAGAAGCTCGAATGTGGGTGGAAAAAATATCTGAAATGGGCAATTTGGAACAAACAAGCATCACATGATATTGAAAAGTGAAGATTGAAAATTTATTTAAATATATACTTTTGAAATTAAGAAATCAAAACTTATATTAAAATTTATTAACTAAGTTTTGATGCAAAGTTCCTTTTGATCATTAAGCAGTTTAAAAGAATTTATAATTTATATTTATTTCCTAACTTTTTATGGTGGTTGCGAGGTCAGTCAAATTAACCAAACCCGTATAGAGTTAGGGTAGATTAAATAACAGATAAAATATAAAATTTTACTAAAAACAAACATTTGAAATGTATTTAGGAGGTTTTATAGATTACACAAATGAAGTTTTTTATAATCATAACACAAAAATCACTTCACGCTTGTAGTAGCAACAAAACAGTTTCAATGTATTCACAAACAAATTTTTAGTAAAAATACTTCATTAAAAAAATCTGATTTTTTTGTATAAAAGACTTTTAATTTTTACTAAAGGTCTAACAAATTTTATAAAGGTACACATACTGCATTCAAAGTTATAGTATAAATACTTAACATGTGCAAATGTGTATACAAAACACATGTATTTTATACCAAGCCCATCAGAAAAGGGTTAAAAGACCAGTAAAACTTTTTAGTACTTAACATAAATTGACATTCATTTACAATAATACTTAACTCTTTCAACCAGGGCTCATTCCAAGGGACCGACCTCATAACCATTTTGAGCTTGTTATAGTTTTCATAACTTTTAAATTAGTAAGAGAATGTTCACGAAAATTTGACAGTTTATCAGTAAACATTACAATGCTTTCATAAGCAAAATATGTAATTTTTTATTAAGTCTTAAGGTGTTTATAAAGCCTTTTTCACATATTGCCCATCTATCATGCAAAGTAATTTTAACTTAACATTAAAAATACTTTTATGCATCAGAAAATTTCGAAATTTCACATGCGAAATCTTTATAATGTCCAAATAGTTATCAAACATTTCTAACGAAGAAACTTTAGATTTTATCTGTTATTTTCAGTACTTAATCTCTCTAAGGGTTTGATAAATTTGACCGATCTCACAACCGACATAAAAAAAAAATAGGAAATAAACATAAATTATGCATCTTTCATTCCAGAATGAACACAAATTATAACACAAAAACATAAAAATTTAGACTAGATAGCTTAAATCTCATAACATTACACATTTATGTATATTTATTATTTTTATTACATTGACCTTTCACCTATGCCTGGCTAAAAATACAGAAGTTACAACAACACGGCTCACGTGCACCCATGTTACTTTATCAAATAACATAAAGGTGACCCTTGGTCTGTACAAAGTAACTTGTCTTGGCTGTGTTTTAATTGACTAGTATTTTGTGAAATACAGTCACGTTTCAATTGTTATACGTTATACATATGTATATAGATTATTGCTATTTTGAAATAAGTTCTTAAAGTTATTTTTCCTAAAACATAGAACAGTAAATAAAGAAGTAAAGTGAACAATTATCTCTTCTAGTTACGACCTTTGTACTCGATTGCTGCTTGATGTAGATTGCTAAACCTTTAAATAGTTTGCACGTGGAGGACATGAAACAAAATATTTTTTTTAAGGTTTTATATATACTTTTGAATGACTAAAAAATCATAAATTGCTACATCAATACCATAGAATTCTACTATAATTTATCAAATGTGTAACTAAGCTGTATTTGGGTCTAAAAAAATATGAAGATTGAGCAGACTAAAGACACAACCTACCTCATTGAAATCTTGATTTAAAAGAAAGAAATGATGCTAGGTACATTAGAAAGACTAAGAAAACCACTAGGGGGACATTCTGAGCTTCCAATTGGTTAGTCATGTCATATATAGAAGTAAGTGTTTATAAGGGAGTGTTTCCAAAAATGGAAGGAGATGAGCAGGATGCCACTATGTTTGATTTATTACGTGAGCAATATCTTAGCAAATGGAAAATATAAGACCTTCTTATTTTATATTCTAGCCAATCAATATCTGTAATTTAAGTTTCTAATTCATATGAAACTATAGATTTAGTATTTTGACTTCACAAACATCTAATTTGAACCAGTGCTGCATTCAACATACCACATGACACATAAAAATTGATGTTTATCTGTGTTTCTTTAATATTTATTAACAAACTGAGTAATGTACAGTTTTAAAATTTGAATTATAATCTATAGTTTGATACTAAAATTACTGACATAAATACATGAAATAGTAATTCAATAAAATTTTGAATGTGAGTCAACAAACGAGACGACACGGCCTTTTACCTGTGACCTGTATTGAAATTGTTAAGTATATAACCTACAATACGTGTTTTAATACAAATGAGTATTTACTTTCTTAAAAAAATGAAATATTTATTTTCTTGAAACATGAAGTTGTTATGAAAGTTTTCATTTTTGGCTACAAATGATATTAAAAATTCACAACAACATTATTGCTATGTTTGGAAGTAAGTCTCATTACTCCTATATGATTTTTAGCATGCACATTAGATTAAAATATGCTTTATTGTAAGCCACTGTCAACAACACCTTTATCTCTGTACCAGGGTTGATTAGCCAGGTAAGTTACAGCATTTGTTCTTTGCTACTTAGAATAAGAATATGACATAAAAATGTTGAATAAGTTTTCTATTGTATTAAAAGCGTAATATTTATTCAAACAGGATACCTACTTATAAAAATTGACAACGCTTAAGACCATCTCTGCTAATTGATCCACTGTAGGATAGACATAACTGAAAAAAAAAAGAAAGTCAGACAAGAATATCATGGTAAACAACAGTTTATCAGCATGGCAGTACCGGTCAGTTTATTAAAAGAGGAACATGAAAGTGAAATCAGATTTTTAAATAAAGAAGAATGTTATGTAGGTAATCTAATAAATACTATCTACATTGGAAATAATGCTGACACTGATGAAAACTAACAGGACATTTCTTGTAACATCAAAAACCTATATTTCTTTCACGTATATTTAATAATAAAAATATACGATGTAGTTCCATTTCATGAAGTTAAAGCTAATACAATATTCTAAACTTTGAATTACTAAAATATATGAAAGCTAAAGCATCTTAACAATATTCCTTTAAGAACTGACAAACATATTAAGGTTTGAAAACAAGAATTTCACCATATTCCAACACAGGCTAAGTAGCTAAACATTATGTTATCTGAAGACAATTTCATGAATACATCTCTCAAACAGTGTAGAAATTTTCATAAAAGTATTAAAAAACTTATTTCCAAAAAAGAAAGTTAAAACAGAGCTAAGGAAGCAACAAGTATAATTTTCCAAGATTAATCAAACAAACCCCTCTGGAAAAGATGGTGCCCCCTCTTCCTGTCCTGGAGCATTGATGTGGTAAACACAGAAGCTTCGTAATAAAACACGCATGTCCACATAGTTGAAAAATGATTGAAAGTTTGATACACCTAAAAAAAACATCAGTAAGAAGTTGAAAAAAATCAGAGAAAAAACACAAAGAACACTACCACTGCATAGGTTACAACTTCACTTACTTAATTTTCACTGATTTTATAAACATTCTTATATAATAGCAAGTTTTGTTACCGATAACATGTAGTTAAAACTCTAACGGTGATACATTTTGCACCATCATCCACATACAATGCATTGCAATTCCTCAACATTTTTTGTTTTAGAGTAGCCAAAATTTGCCTGTTTTTAAGCTTTAAGCAATATCTGCACTAACGGTACAATCTACCACTAAATAAAATTAAACTTTATTTAAAAGAAGTTTCACTTATACGTCAAATAATTCTATTGGTAGTTTTTTCTTATTACCACTTATTGCTACTTTGAACAAAGGTGTAATCATTGAACTGACAAACAATACAGAAAAATTCTTGCTACATTTCTATAATTACTGATAATAGTGTGAAGGTTACCATAGAATTAGTTTGCAATTTGTATTTAGTAATTAAAATATAATAAAAATGTACTTGCAATTATAGAGCAGGCCAGCAAACAGTATACTACAGATAAATCAAGGTAATTCTAACTACCACAGCATAATAATTCTCAATTTTTATAAATTACATGTTTAATAGTGCATCTCTTAACAACATTTATTAACTGAAATCAGTGTGTTGTTCTTCAGAAAGCACCATATTTTCTACCTTTAATAACTTAAAAATATAAACACAAGTCCACCATCACACATTTTTCATATAGATATATGTGCTTTCACAGCAAGTATAAGCTTTGCATACAAGAAGACTGCCTTGTACAATAATGATATTTTGATAGTTACACACAGTCAAGGAATGTGCCTCATTTTGATATTTTTGGGCTTTCTCATGGATTAATTTGTTAGAAACCTACTTTTAAGCTTATGTCTACTTTCTAGTGACATTAGCAGACAATGTTTAAGTTAAGAAACACCCTGAGGTTAAACTCTCCCTACTTTCATCTATGGAATTCCAAATGACATGGGTGCACCTGCATATGGATCATACTATTTTTGTATATATAATGCTATACTCTCTAAGTCTAGAACAGAATATCTTCAAAATAAGTTGATAATTCAAATATCTCTTTTTGCTTTCTAGAAGCATTGCTCAATGTTTTGTGCATTCGTTTACTTGTTTTTTGGGTTTTTTCTGAATAAGGACTGATTTTACTTGGTTCAACATTGTATCCAGCCTTTTCTCTACAATTAAATCAAATCAAAACTATTATTTTGGCTTCTAATATACAATCTGGTCATTACTTCTGTTATTTGTAGTTCCCAAAAATGTAATAAGTGTACCTGAAAATACAATAGCGTAAGGTAATAAGGTTTAAATTTTGGTGCTATGACCACAGGATTTGTTTTAGTAGAGTTCTCTGATTTTTCAAAGGTGTACTTTTTGTTACTTCTTTGTACAATGAAAAGACATGGGAATGCTAACTTGCAGACAAAAGATTTATGAAAAAATTGACAAGTTTAACACTGAGGGTAGACCATAATCGGAAAGAGAAGTTCTAATTTACCCTGTATGTATGCTTTTCATCAATCCTGCATGTCAACTATCTTAATCTGGCTACAAACTCAGAAAATGGAACTGCTGCCTAGACCTCCATATCTGCTGCAAGTTTCTACCCCTATATGTAACCCTTAAAATGCAGACCATTGATGGTTGACATGGTAAACTGCAGGCTGATGGTTTCAAGACTGATGACTAGGGAGGTTTGCACACAACATCCAAACTACTGCCAATAACGGCAGCCCAATCCCAAAACCCTAGTTGTTATCACCCTTAACTCTTTCGAGACGGGTCATGGGTGAAAGGCCATGTTATCTCGTTTGTTGACTCGCATTAAAAATTTTATTTAACTACTATTTCATGAATTTATGTCAATAAATTTGGTATCAAACTGTAGATTATAACTCAAATTTTAGTACTATACATTACACAGTTTTTTAATTTAAAAGTAAATAAAAAAAAAACACAGATAAATATGAATTTTTGTGTGTCACGTGGTATGTTGAATGCAGCACTGGTTCAAATTAGATGTTTCTGAAGTCAAAATACTAAGTCTATAGTTTCGTACGAATTAAAAACTCAACTTATCGATATTGACAAGCTAGCATATAAAATAAGAAGGTCTTATCTTTTCTATTTGCTAAGATATTGCTCATGTACTGAATCAAACACAGTGGCACCCTGCCCATCTCTTTTCATATTTGGAAACACTCCCTTATATACACTTACTTCTACATCAAACAGCACCAGAGTACAAAGGTCATAAAAAGAAGCAATAATTGTTTGCTTTACTTCTTTATTTACTGTTCCATGTTTTAAGAAAAATAACTTTAAGAAGTTATCTCAAAATAGCAATAATCTATATAGATATATCATGTATAATAATTTAAATGTAACTGTATTTTACAAAATACTAGTCTACTAAAACACAGACAAAGGTCAGTTTTATGTTATTTGATACGGTAACATGAGTGCATGTGTGCCACATCACTGTGACTTCTGTATTGTTAGCCAGGCATGGCTGAAAGGTCAATATAATAAAAATAATAAATATATATAAATGTATAATGTTATGAGATTTAAGCTATTTCGTCTAAACATTTATGTTTTCGTGTTATAATATGTGTTCATTCTAGAATGAAAGAAGCATAATTTATATTTATTTCCTAATTTCATATGGTGGTTGTGAGATCGGCAAATATACCAAACCTGTACAGAGATTAATTACCAAAAATAACAGATAAAATATAAAGTTTTTTCTTAAGAAATGTTTGATAACTGTCTGGGCATTATAAAGATTTCACATGTAAAATTTCAAACTTTTCTGATGCATAAAATATTTTTAATATTAAAATGAAAATTACTTTGCATGATAGATAGGCAACATACGAAAAGAAAAAAAACACATTGCTTTACAAACCTTAAGACTTAATAAAAAAAATGATATTTTGTGTATGAAAGCATTGTAATGTTAACTGATAATCTGCCACATTTCGTTAATATTCACTTACTAATTTAAAAGTTATAGCATGAAAACTATAACAAGCACTAAATGGTTATGAGGTCAGTCTCAGGGGTCAAGCCCATGCTGAAATAGTTAAGAAATTATCTAACGTATAATACTAAAATTTGAATTATAATCTAGAATTTGATATCAAACTTATTGATATAAACTTATAAAATAGTAGTTCAATAAAATTTTGAATGCAAGTCAACAAACGCGATAACATGGCCTTTGACAAGTGACCCGTCGCAATAGGGTTAACCAGCCAAAGGTGACTGGAGATACCACTTGGGGATGAAGTTTGCCAGTTGGAGCTATAAGTAAAGAAAAAGATCATGTGGGGACAGACGAGAGATTTTCTGAGATAGGATAAATGCTGCTTGGACCACAGAGGTTTGTGACAAACCTTGAATTCATGCATAATTGGAAGACAAGTTTCCTATTGCAACTCACTGTTCTACTACCTGGGAGCAGGGACAAAACACCAACCTCACTCAGTGCCCCTGACACTATAGATGCCTCAGCCTAGTAATGGCCAAGATATCATTAAAAATGTACTTGTTTCAATAGTCTTAGGACCCTGTGATCAAGGTGAAGATTTCTCCTCCAATATTAAAAAATTACAGCTACAGACGATCTGAACCACTTAAATGTTTTAAGTAGGTCAGTGTATGCCTGATTTTGAGTCTTGATATGCCAGTGATTGAAATGATCAATCACTAAGATAAAGAGCAACTCCGTGACTAGGTGACAATCATCTAGGTGACTGCATCGAAGCTTCGACCTTGTGGAGAAAAGAGCAATCCCTTAAGCCATGTTTATGGCCATGAGAATGACAAATGAAATGATGCAATTACTTGGATGTTAGATACATCTTCACCCTCCCTAACAAAGATGGTATGTGTGGGTTCCAAGTGGTTACTTGGATCTAGTCACTAGTGATAAAGAAGCCTGCTGTAGATGTATTTCACCCAATCTGTTACCCTAAGATGCTTGCATTACATAAATCTTATTCTGCTGAGGGCTACCTAGCCACAGACACATCACAGCACCTTGATACAGATGCACTGAGTACCATTGAATGGGAAGGGCTTCATAAGGCCTCACATGATGGCTGTGCCACAGGAAATACTTGATAATGCCTCTACCTAAACATCACCATGGAATAGAGGACCAAAGTGTATGCTTTGGTTGTGGGTTGGTAAGTAACTATTAAGTGAACTGCTCATATATATATCCCCACAGCAATTTATGAAAAACTACCTGTTTCACCAAAAAGCTCAGCATATACAAGAGATTCAGGCAAGATATGGCTACCACAACTCCATCAATTGACTCATTTTGTTCTTTCAAATATACTTAATATAGAATACACTGAATTTCAAACTGGTTTCCAAAGGGAAAGATATAGAAAGATAAAGCTCTTTTCACAATGGAGCAATGGTGTATTAACAATTGTGAAGTTTTGCATAAAACTGGAGATAATAATCCCAATTTATTGTAGATATTATTTGGCACAGACCAATTACTTATTCCAATTTGTTTTTTGTAGTAATAATGTTTCTGTTTTGAGGGAAAGCTTTGTCTATTGTGTAAATGTTTTGGCTCACATTGTGAGCATTTGCATGACTTTTCTGCATCCATGGTTAACCCTATATGCATGGGTAGTGGGTCAAAGTGTGATGTCACAAACTATTACAGAGTGTCATTCAACATGGCATCATGAATTTGATGTCAGAGTTATCAACAATTCATCTTGTTCGACGTTGCTGATTCAGCAACAGTACACATTAAAAGAGAGTAAATATTAGAAACAATATACAGGGATATTGAACAGAACTGTAGATGTGCATTTTGGAATTTTTAGAGGCTATTGCAATTGCAATACACAAAAAGTACAATGGATAATATTATATTTATTCTTCATATGAACATCACATTGCATTCCAACTTTCCAGAGTCTAAGTCAGACTGATGTCATCAATTCACACATATCTTGAGTAGAAATACTTTTGTAGCATATCTGATTTTTTGTGCACAACAGGCTTGTACATTCTAGTAAAAGCTTGCCACATTTTGTATAGATACAAGTAGTAAATTCATAAATATAATTAACATTTCCTCTCCAATACAGGGTCTGTCCTTTGGACTGACCCAAAACACTTTTAGTTAAAGGGTTCAATTTTTGTAGGATATAAAAAAAAAGAGTTGAGGTAAAAAAGAGGTAAAAGCACAATACTATGTAAAGTAAGTTACAATAAAGTTTAAATTCACACTAACAGAACATTGCAAATTTAAGGGTTGATCTTTATACAGTATTTTGATCTTGATACATAGTTAAGGAGATTATGATTGTGTATTTGTTTATCATGAACTACAGTGGTGGTTTATAATAGGGATTGCCTGTTTGTTCTTTAATATATAATATTGTTCCACCAATCTACACCAGAAATAGCTATGAGTTTTGTAATAAAACCTTGGAAATATTACTAATTGCATCATTGCACACTGTGTAGGGTAGTTTTTATTTGACTACCTAGCAAATAAGAGCAGCTGTATAACCACTGATACCCAATCATTTTAATGTAGTCTGTTGTTTACATGGAGCCTCATAATCTAATATACATGCACATATGAGCACACATAGAAATTTGATTAATAGTTTAGAGCAAAATAATGGTTTTTGACAGTCAATAATTTACAAAAATGTACTTACAATCCAAGCCGAGATCGTGATAGGTAATTATGGCTGGCTTATTTTGCTCCCCTTGAACAGCAACAAACATAGTTCCTGTTTCAGTCTCAATCTTGTCTTCCTGGATAAAAAACAAAAATACTTAAAGCTGCCATTTTACAGTAGTGTGCATTTTCATAACTAAATACTTAACTTGTTAATATATCAAAAAGAACTGAAACTGTCGAAATTTTAATGAAGTTGAATCTTGTATGTTTTAATTTAGTTTATAAACTTCCATGAAGTAAACCATTATTTTTTTTTTGCATTAAACCCTTCTATGAAATTAAACAAAGGAAACTACTTAAAACTGATTTTATAAAACATACTGTAACATCAATTGTCATTTTCCTTCTGTGTCTTTACAAAATTTTACATGAGCTTGAAAAAAAATAATTTAAAAAGCAATTAATCTCAAATAATCAACATTTTCACTTGAAAGCTTATTTTCTTAACCTACATATGCAAGAAAAGAACACTACAAATTAAAATACTTAAGGATTGCATAATCATATAGCAAATATAGCTTAAAAGGAAAGAATAATTTTTGCATGCTTCCCAAGACAATAAATGCCATTTTGAATTTTCCAACAAATGGCTTAAAATGCTGGAAATATTTTATATTTGTCAAAATGTTGATTACCTGTATGCTTTGCAGTCACCCCTATAATTATTTTTCATATGTAAAATGGATACCAGTTCTAACATCCTATATCGTCAGTTGCCAAGTTATGGTGTCATGTTTTAGCTAATTGTACAATTGTTAAATTTGAAAGGCCTCCTATGTACAGTTGTATAATTTCTGATAAATAGTTATATATTTATTCAATACAGAAGAACCCAAATATAATTTTGTTTATAGTTAGAAAATAACTTAAAACTTTCTTTTAAAGTAAGAAAGAAATAGCTATATCTAAAAACAGCAAGTTTATACAAAATTATTATCATTTTACTATTATACATGTAATACTGCCCAAAACAATTCACTGCAAATTGTGTACCTACAAAGATTATGAATGCCAAACTTGACTGAAGAATACCGGTTTTCCTTAATACTACTTCCCATATCTCTGGCCATTTTATAAAAATCACATCAGCTAAACAAAGAAATTACAAACATACTAGGTTCTATAGATTAGAAAAAGCTATGGTAAAAACTGATGAAAAGTGTCTGTAAACTACTGAATACTACTTGGCTCAGAGTATAGTATTACTTTATACTTGCTAATATTGTATCACACTCCAGTGGCTTTCTGAGTGAGAAATCTTTTTACAATTGAGTACCACCATCTTTTTTTCTCATTAATCCTCACCTGAGAGTATAATTCATTATTTGACAAGTTTCTCATCAAAGGAAGCTGAAGCTCAACACCCTTTAGTTCAATGTGATCTATCATGTCACTTGGCATCCTGGAAGAAAAAAAAAAGTCAGTCATTATAACACAGAAAATTAGACACACACCAACATGTATTATATTCCCTTTAAGATATTAAACTAACCAGTGTTATAAGATTTATTAACTATAGGTAGACAAACAAATACATGTATACATGGTTTGCACTTAATCTTAATAAACTAGCACAGTGCTGATCAGTGTTGCAGTTTTGCTAGTAAAACCTAGAAGGCACTAGTACAAAATTGATAAAAAACATTTCATTGCAAGCTGCTGAGTACAGAAGATTACTGTGATTATGATTAACAAGACTGTTTTACTTGCCAGTGTCATGCCAGTTTTGCAATCTTCATTTGAGATGCATGGTATATCCAGGTTAAGTATTGGGAAATGAGGATAGCACGAACACAGCTTCAATTCATTTACTTGATTGCCAAGGCAATCAACTCATGGGCTAGCTATTTAGAGTCGTACTATCCAGCCTCTTTTAGTTCAGTTCTATGGCAATGTTGTTAAAAATACTGTGATCAAATGTTTACTCATTGGAGGTAATAACAAAATAGAAGTAATTTAAACTGCATCAGTTTCATCACAAAGTCCATAACAAATTCCAACTAAAAGTCTTCTCCCCTATATTCACTAACAGAATTCATATCCTTGCTATAATCTTTCATATCCTCAACTTGAACATGATGTATCTCACATTTTACATATAAATACTCCCCCTTCTTTTCAATACTCTATTCCTAATACACATTCTATAACCCTGTATTTTAAAGAAATTCCTGTTATCAAAATTGTTTACATTTACTCAAGTTTCAGTTATTTCAATCATAACAAAATCCTCCATTCTGACTAATGCTCTAGATTAGTCTTATATTTTATTTCTTATACTTCTAGTGTTACAATATCAACAATTTAGCCAAACCTTAAAACTACTTCTGTACTTTGTTTCTTCACTACATATTTTGTCTAATTTTATTATTTCTGCATGTATTTTATTCTGTCCCTCATCACTGTCCAGTTTAATCTAAAATTTTCCATTATAGCTGAGTTAGTAGCTCTTGCAAACAAGTCAGTCTCTATCCTACTTAAATGTAAACCATCCATTCCAAAAGCTCCCTTTTCCCATTGAACTGATCCAACATTTCCAACCAACCAATTTATTCATCCTTACATATTAAAGTAAGTCTAAATTCAACCCAACAATTAAATCTTAGCAGTATCTCTAATAGACTTAAATTATAATCATTTTCTGTAAATGATCTTATCAACCCCATGTGCTCAACAATTAGCTCTTCTGACCAAACATTACCTACATCATTAGCCCTTCTGTGCACAACAGACTACATCACTGCTAGCATCCTTTACTATATCACTTGCTCTATTAGTTATGTCTTCCACTACCACTTCTGAATAGCATATTTTATCCTTTTCTCCCTATTTACCCCATAGACTATCCTATACATGTTCCATACCAAAGAATCACCTATAACCTCCTTAATTCTTCATTTCCATCTCTATTTCATCTGTCCCTTCTGTTTTCCTTCCCTCACAGAGTTTCTCATTTGCACAAACTAAAAGACTAATGTTCAACTTCAGTGTAGTACACTTGTGGACCTAGATATCTAAGGCCAAAGCAGATTTGTAATTAGTCTTATGTGGCTAAATGTAACTTGTTCCTTTAACTTTTATTACTAGTACTACCAGTAGTACTATTTGTAACATAACCTATCACACTTACAGTATCACTATCAGTACTTCTTTGAAAAAATTTAACATATCACTTATAGTTATAAATTATATACATTATTAAAATAGTAATACTTAAATAAAATTTATAGTAGTGGTAAAATCACATTTCATAAACTACTAGTACTATATTATTATATATATAGTGCCATTGTAATCAGATTCTACATACAATACAATTACAAATTATAATCACATTCTTCTCTCAAATTTCTTCTGAAGTCTAAATAAAAAAAAAAACTGATAACATTATCAGTACTAATAGTAATAGTTAGTAATACTATCACGGTCAGTAAAACTAAAAAGTTTAAGCAGTACTTGTAATGGTGATGTAACTTGTAAGCCTATTCCAGAATTCTAATGTTGTTACTGTTACCGTGGTAGCACTTTAAAGTTTAAGTTTAACCATGGTTAGCTAGGGTAATTCTCTTCAATTTCAATAAACCAGTTTACCATTTCCTTCTCCAAAAGCTTTCACTTTCAAGTTTCAGTATTATTATTCTTTCACAGATTGTATACTATGGCAAAATAAATTACCTGGAGTTGTATATGGCTTCTTAGTATTCTTTGAGTTTGAGATAATATAGCCCCTTTTTTATTATTCAACGTTAACTGTCGTGCCTAACCGGCTAATTCTATTGCCAAATCACTACTTTCTTCACCGAGTGTACTTAGTTATAAATCAAGATCTTAACCTGTATTATCACTTTGCAAAATTTGTCGTTCCAATTTCAATGGTTTGAAAATTTCATTACGCAGTTACTTCTTGGTATAGCATACCAGCTTTGCACTGATTCTACAAAAACTCGTATTTATGAAATAGCGTTTTTTTCATCGAAAACACAGCTCCAACTATCTATATATTACATAATTAGCCTTCAAAAGTCATTGATTTAATTCAATTTGTTATTATTTTTTGTATATGTTGTACTTCAGCAGTCCTTGTACTTTTGAATTAAGTTTAATCAAATAGGAAAAAACATAATACTATATTATATAAGTCTCCAGGTGGCTCAGCGGTAAGTCTGAAGGCTTAAAAGTTAAAACGATAAAAATTGAGGCTCGATACTTGTAATACAGCAGACAGCTCATTGTGTAGCTTTGAGTAACAAGCAAACAAATAAATCTTAT